AATCCACCACCATAGCCCCATACATGTCCTGTGATGGGGTGCTCACTGCCTCCCGGGGGAGCCCCTTTGACTGACAGTAAGCAATTCTCCATGAGGAATGAACGTTGGCTGCCCCAGGAGGCCAGGTCCCCTACACACTCACAGCCATGCCTCCAGCAACACCCCAGAGACAGCCCTGGCCGTTTTGCTGGTGGCGGCATTGCAGGCCTGGGCAGCTCATCACAGTCAGCCCTGCCTCCATGTCCTCTCCCTCAGGTCCTCTGTCTTCTCCGTGTCTGTTCAAAGACACCCCAGGAAGTTGTCTTTTCTCTGGTCCCGCCCTCACTGCTCCCAGACTAACTTCAATGCATCCAGCATTGGCTCTCCCTGCCTCTTTCCTCCCCAGCTGCCCTGGGATGGGGGAGAGGGGCAGGGACTGGGCTGGACCTCCTCTAAGCTCCCTGGGTCCCTAAAACCCCAGCCCCATTAAACGAAATCCCCTAAATGTTATTTACACTTCGGAGTCTTAAAAACCATTAACAAAAGCCACTTAATTCAATTATCTTCCTGGCTGGCTCAGTTCTCAGCACTGAGCCCGGCCTCCCCCAGTTGCCCCCTCCCTCTACCTCCCAACCCCCGTCATTGTGTCGGGCTAATGAGGTAAACTGAAGCGAGCCCTGTCCCCCCTGACAGGTTTATGAGAATTTAATAAAGCGTGGCCGGGACCAAATGAGTTGCCTCAGCCTTGGAGAGCTCATTGTCTCTGGCGTCAGCGTTTTTTGACTCGAGCTGCCCCCTCCCCCGCCTGGCTCCTGCCTGGCTCAGTCCTCACCGCCACCCTGGGTATCTCCCAAGGTGAGCCCGAGGCCGGTGGGCCTGGCAGAGGCCAGCTTGGTCCTGCAGGCCCAAGGCACCCAGGCTGCACCCTGGGGAGGACAGAAACGGAACTGGTCGGTGAGCCCAGGGAGGGGCTGCACGGCCCCTTTTGTACCTCCCTCCTCGCACCTCTAGGACTTCTGCCTCCTTACCCACTCTGTGCTCCTGTCTCAAAGGACACAGCCAACCTGAGGCTGGAGCCCGCGGGGCCACCTTGTGCATGATTCATCTTTTCTTGCCTCTTTTGAGTGATGGCCAATAAATTCCCAGAGCAAGGGAATGTCTCCTTCCTGATGGGGCACTGGGCGGGGATGTGGACCAGTGATGGCTTGGTCCCACTCTCTTCACAGAAGTTCACCTCTTCCTCACATTTCCCCCAGAAGGCAACAAGGGGTGTAGCACAGCCCAGAGGGAAGGGGCTTGCCCAGGTTCCGCAGGAGCCAGAAGTGCAGATGGAAGAGGCTCCCAGCCTGGAGGCCCCCAGGCACCCTGGCAGCAGGAAGGCCCAGCGCAGAGCCCAGGGGCTCCTGGAGAAGACCCAGCCGTCCTCTCCCTCATATCCTGGACAGCCTACAACCAGCCTTTCCCTGCCTGGCTAATGTCCAGGAGTTTCTGGACCATTCAAAGACCCAGGACTCCTTCTCTCCCCCTCAAAAGTGGCTGCAGGAGTTACTTCCTTTGGGGGCTGAAGCCTGGCCTGACATGGAGACTCATCTGAAAGGCCCTTAAGTCAATGGGGTGTCGGGGAGCACGTCTTAGGTATCAAGGCTCAATCTGTGACCTTGATTAAAGCTCGGTCCTTGTCCAGGCTCAGGGATCGATGTATGGATCAGGGTTAAAGTTCAGGTTAGGACCAGGTTCAGGGCTCTTTGACTAGGGTCAGGCTCAGTCTGCTATCAGAATCAAGGTTCAGTGTATGGCTCAGGGTTAGAGTTCAGTTTGTGACCAGAATAAGGGCTAAATATGTGTCCAGGATAAAGGCTCAGTCTGTGTCCAGGTCAGGGTTCAATCTTGGATAAAGGTCGGGGTTCAGTCTGTGAACTGAGTCAGAACTCAGTCTAAGATCAGGATCAAGGTTCAATGTAGGGACCAGGCAGGGTCAGGGCTCAGAGTGTGACCAGGATCAAGCTCAGGCCAGGACTCACTATGGACTTGGGAGAGGGTTCAGTCTATGAATCCACTCAGGACTTACCTGTGACCTTGACAAAGGCTAAGTCTGTTTTGGGTCAGGGCTCCCTCTGTGATAAGGTCAGGTCCCAGGGTTGGAGGTGTCATTTAGTCAATAGGTTGGCTTAACCTCTCCGATCCCCTCAGCAAGTGCACCCAACTGTCCACTCCTCCCATTCCACAGGGCCTTGACCCTCAGAAGTGGAAAAGGCCAATGTGTGCAGGCTGCCTGGGCTGTAGTCTCTATCCCGTCATGTGCCCAGGCTGCCCTCTAGTGGCACTCTCCAGCAGTTTCTATTTCCTCAGGCTTGGCCCATCTCTATGGCCATTGCCTACTTTTGGGATCCTAGCCCTCAGGCATGTCTATCAATGTCCATCTAGCCATCTCTACATTCCCACGTCCTCCAACCTCTTCACAAAGAAGTAGAAAGCAGGAATTGGCCAGGAGAAGTCCCCCACAGAAAGGGAGCTTTTCACCTTTCCTGCCCAGACTTGGGCACCTTGATAATTTTCTCTAGAGTCTCAGCTGTGAGATAAGATTCACATATTTTACTAACTCAACAAATATTTGCTGAGCACCCACCTTGTGCCAGGTAGGCACTGAGTGCACAGCAGTGAACAAGACAGTAGTCCCAGCCTCTTAGAATTCACAGTCCACTCACTTCTCCCTAATCCCTGACTCCCCATCCATGGACCTTATCATCGAGGCACAGGCACCAGCAGAAGCGTAGGTGAGATTCAGAACTGGGCAATGTAAGGTACCTTCTCTCCCCAAGACTCAGAGTTTAGACTGGTTTAGATCCTGGTTCCGTCTTCATCTCTCCCCATGTGCCTCATCTGGACTCATGGCTTAGCCACCAGCCAAGGCCAATGGCTTCTAAATCTGCATCCTCTCTGCTCTCTTTCCAGAATTCAGGGTGTGGCTCCAGCTCCAGGGGAAGTCCCACTGAGCTAACAGACCTTTTATCTTACCAAAGCCCTTGCTTTTCCTCCAGATACGGCCAGCTGCTCCAAGCAAAATTCTAGAATTTTATTCCAGATTCTTCACTTTCACTCTCCTTACACTCCCGCAACAGGGAGACCTCAAAAAGATGTCAAATCTGTCCACTTCACAGCCACCGCTCCAGTCCCAGCCCCCAGCATGTCTCACCACAATAACCTCTTAACCCCATCTTCCTCTTGTCCCCAGCACTGTTTTCCCGACAGCAGGCAGGGCCCTCTTCATAAATCAGATCATGCTTAACACCCTCCAGTGGCTCCCATCTCGCCAAGAATAAATCCCAACTCTTCATCCTGACTTACTCAGCTTTCTATGAGCCGGGCAATAGTTCCTTCCCCACCCTCACCAAGTTCATCTCCCACCCCACAGCCCTTTTTTTCCTGGCCTGACACTGGAGGCCACATTCATTCTCACCTTAGGGCTTTTGCATGGGCTGAAATGCCCTAGAGAGGCCTAAAGAAGTGTGTGGGGAGGAGTCCCCTGGTAGGGCAGGCCTTGGGGGGGTGGGGGGATGTTGCTAGGGTGGCTGATTGGAAACTGGGCCCTGGGGTATAGAGAGTATCTTCTGTGTGCCTATGGAGAGGGAGCGACCACAGATGGGACAAATGACCTTCAGCTGGGCGTAGCAGTGGAAGAGACTCCAGGGAGACAATGTCCCCCCTGCTCCCGCCTCACTTCCATTCTATTCATTCACACCCTCTCTCTGTGGCCCACTGCCTTGAGCTCTTATCACCTGTTTCTTCTTCCTCCTCAGCAGCCAGGCTCCTAGATATGGAAGTCTTCTTGTGGGGGGAGAAGAGGAAGATAATGTGCACTTCCAGCAGGTGAAGAGGGGTTTGGGCTAAGCCTAGTATCCTAGGGCTAGAATCTGGGTGTCTCCTCCTAAGAAGGTGTAGGAGAAGGGTGAGCCAGATCACACCCCAAGGCAGCCTCATCAGTGGCCCCTCTCACCTCCTACTCTACCAGCAGCAGGTGGCGTCCGAGGCTGCAGACCAGTGAACCAGAAGAGGCAGGAATGGAGCCTGGGGTGGGGGCCTAACACACACACACACACACACACACACACACACACACACACACACACACAGTGGGGGTGGGGAAGCGCTCTGAGAAGAGGTCATCAGCTCCAGGGGCTGGATGCTTCAAAGGTTGGGGCCCATCGACCCATGTGAATTAATAGAGATGACCCGCTCAGCACCTATGGAAATAGATTCCCTCTTCTCCAGGTCAATGGGAGGGCAGACAGCAGGAGAGGCAGGGCAGAGAGGGGGCTCAGAGGAAGGAAGACAGAGCCACAGGGCTTGTGGGAAGAGCCTGGGCCCAAGCAGAAGAGCAGCAAAGACCACTCTGGAAAGAAAAAGGGCGGCTGAAGAAGCCAAGGGCGATGGGCAGGGAGTCACGGTCAGCAAGGGGTTGTGGTCCAGTGTGTGCCACCATCCCAGCCACTGCTGGCCTGGGTCCCCGCAATCTGAGGAGGGCCTGGCCCAGGGTTGCAGTATCTCCCCCCAGACTCCACGTGCTTTGTTTCTTCTTGCAAAGCAGCCTCTATCCCTCTAACAGATGCCCTCACCCACCCAAACAGAACACATGCTAAGCCCAGACTCTGCCAATCCCGCCAGACCAGCAGAAAGGACTAGGATTTGCATAGCCCTGGGGAGCCCTTCTTTCCTCACATCTCTGCTGGGTGACACCCTCAACCACCCCCACATGGGTGTGGTGTTAGCGTCGCCCACTCCCTATCTCATGCACACAGCCAGGCGATCTCACCCACAGGCACGGTCATATATGTTCATTCAGTCCCCCAGCCTTACACACCTGTTCCCCAGTTCACAGGCACCCCCGGTCTGTCTTTTGCTCACAGTCACACACTCCTTTCCCCTAGGTCTCCAAGGGGGTGAGAGGACCCCAGCCTAGAGCCCTGTAACCAGGCCCTCCCTCAGGGCTGCACAGCCACATCGGACTTGACTCCAAAGGTGCTTTATTGAGAAACGAGGTACAGAGGATGCGCAGGAGGACCCTCATCGGTTCACCCCTGTGGGGCCCTAGCCTCCGCTCCCCCTGCAGCCAAGTTGAGGGTGGGGTGTGTGCAATCCAGTTCTACCTTAGGGACTATCCTGGCTCAAATCAGAACCTCCACCCTCCCCAACTATTCCCAAAAGGTCATGGAGTGGAGATGAGGAGGGCGGGGAGGAGCAGAAGGGGGAGCTGGTGACCTTTCAGTGTGCAGGGGCAGGAGACAGCCCAGCCGGGCTGATTCTTCTCCCCCTCCCCCCTTCCTCCCACCCCTGGGGGGTATGGGCCTTGCTGGTAGTTAGTCCCTTTCAGAGTGTCTTTGCTCCCAGTGCCCAAATGCCCTGGGTAGTGGTGTTAGGGACTCAAGGTTTCATCAAGTCTGGGAGTGAAGTCATGTAGGGCCCAGCAGACTCCACCTAAAGGGCCAAGGAGCTGCCCCCTCCTGGGGTGAGGGGCCTCGACCCATTCTCCCCCTAACAGTCCCAGAGATGGGACACATGAGGCCACCTGTGCTCAGCACCCGACCCTTATGTAAATGTCCTTTTTCTTGTCTCCTGTTTTTTCTTACTTGGCACTGAACGGAGGGACCTGGGCCAGGAGAGTCCGAGAGGGCCCCTGTCGCTAGGGGGCGGCGCGCTCCCGGGGCAGGTCGAGCCGGTCCTCGTTGGTGCGCGGCGTGTAGGCGGCTGCAGGCGCGGAGGCGTCCAGGGCGAAGGGGCCGGGGCTGGGGCCTGGGCTGGAGCGGCCGGAGGACGCGGACGAGGCGGCGGGGCTGAGCTGAACGGCCGTGGTGTCCTGCGCCGTGCGCTCGCTGCTCTCCATCTCCAGCGCCACCGGCCCGGCGCCGCTGCCGCCCCGGCCCGGGCCCTTGGCGGCCGCCGAGTGCAGGCGGGACACGGGGCCCCGGCGGCTCCACGCGCAGCAGGCCGCGAAGAGGCCCAGCGCCAGCACCAGCAGTGCCGGCCCCACCACCAGCGGCGCGTAGTGCCTGGGCGGGAAGGAGGCGAAGGCGCCCACCAGGGTCACGTTCACGCCCACCAGCAGCACGCACAGCCCGCAGGCGCAGCACAGCGCGGGGGACCGCAGCTCCGGCAGCCAGCCCCGCGCGCCGGCGGGCGCCCCTGCCGCGGGCCCTCCACTCTTCTCTTTGGGCGGCATATGTCTGGGGATGCCGAGCACTCATCAGGCTCCTTCTCGCCGCCGGCCCGGACCAGCCCCCATGTCAGCGGCCAAGCGCCCTGTCATCCTGTGGGACAGAGCAAGAAGGAGGGGTCAGCAGCGTATCTCAGTTTCCAACCCCACGGTCAGTTCTGGGGCTACATCCAGTGACTGGGAGTGCAGAGGTCATCTCGGCCAGCCTCTGCCTCTGGGAAGCAAAAGCCCACCTGGAAAGAGCCTCCCTTTGCTTTCCTACCCAGTCCCTGGAGCCCTCTGGCTAATCTGCCATCCTCCTACCCTCTCTCCTCCAGACAGACACAGCCTCTCCACCTCCCCTCCTCCAGGAAGCCTTCTTGGGCTAATTAAATGGAGTGAATGGCTTCAAAGTGCTGGAATGAGAATCATTATCAATAGTCCCAGTTAGAGGGTAAGTGGCCACTCTTGGGATTTAGATACCCTCCCCCCACCCCCCCAGCGCCTTACAAATAATCGTATAGCCCCTCCTTGCCCAGAAGAGGTCTAGCAAGTTACCTCAGATCCAGGAGCAGGACCTAATGCCCTGCCTCCTGGCCTGCATGTCCCCACCTTAGGCTCTGGTAGGCATGGCAGTGACATCCTGAGCATCAGGTGAGGCCCTGGAGTGAGTGACTGCATGAGAGTGAGGAGCTTCTAACGTCTCAGATGGGCAGTGAGAAGGGACAGTCCCTACATAGGTTGGGTTTGGCTGGAGCAGACCCAAGGCCCCAGGTTCTTTCTAGACCAGGAATTCCATGAGATTCCAATCCTACCTCCATCCCACCTTCCCCAGCCCCCTCCCCCAGGATTCTACTGTTGAACCTGGACTCACAAGCATGATCACTGGATACTAGAATTCCTTTCTAGGATTCTCTAGTGGTATCTGGGATCTATCAGCGGATTCTAGAGTTCGGGGCATGTACAAGCAAGCGTAAGGTAATTGGAGTCTAAGGATTTAAGACCTCTATTGAGAATTCTGTTCTATAACGTGAAGTCACAGGTATGAAGGCCCTCAAAGGATGAGATCATAACTATGGAGTTGTGTTAAAATTGTGCAAAAAAATTCACAAAAGGGCTCTGAGTGGGGATGAGAGGCACATAATCAGATGGTCCCACACCTGGGAGCAGAGCATGCAGGATAAGTAAGGGAGCCTGACCTGGACAAGTGGCTTGTCCAGGCTTCATGTTAACACCCGTCATGTAGGGCTAATAAGAGAACCTACCTCATAGGGTGTAGTAATAATTAAGTGCTTAAAGCTAAATCAAATGCTTAGAACAGAGCCTGGAACATAGTGAGAATTCAATGAATATTGGCCATTTGTCAGCGCGGTAGTTGATAGACAAGGGGGCAATAAGCTCTCAGATCTGGGAGGCCGGCCTTGTTTAGTTTGCAGAGAGAACAGTGGTCTGTCCCTCTGGTGGAAGCGCCCAAGCAACAGGCTCTGCGTTGTCCTGTGGGTGTCCAAAGCCTGCACACGGTGGGACTGAGAGAGTTTGGTTACTTGTGAATGAAAATGAGGGCAGGTGCCAGACGGTAGCTCAGGGTGGACACAGGTTTGAAGCAGCCTGGCCCAGGCAGTCAGAGAGCCTGGCAGTCGCAGGGGGCACCTCCATTTCTGCCCAGATCTGATGACTCCAGGGCATCCTTCTCTGGCTCCATCGTGAGAGGTAGAGTTCTATTGGGACGCCAGCCAGAAGCACTTGGCTGACACACTAAGCTGGCAGGAATTCAGAAATTCCCAAATCCTGGCAAAAAAGGAAGACAAAACAAAACCAAAAAAAACAACACACCCCATGTTGACCCTGGAGGGCATTTACAGACCACAGGTTCCTCAAGAAGTTCCACGTTTGCCCTAACCCGTTTGGCTCAGTGGATAGAGTGTCGGCCTGCGGACTGAAGGGTCCCAGGTTTGATTCCAGCCAAAGGCATGTACCTTGGTTGCAGGCACATACACAGTAGGGAGTGTGCAGGAGGCAGCTGATCAATGTTTCTCTCCCATCGATGTTTCTAACTCTCTATCCCTCTCCCTTTCTCTCTGTAAAAAAATCAATAAAATATATTTTTTTAAAAAGAAGTTTCACGTTTGCATGAACCATTTGCTCTCTTTAACCTGCAGCTGTTGTCTTGCCGGCAGAATAGTAACCACTAACGGGTACAGCAATTTCCAGTTTGCAAAGCACTTCACATTCATGACATCACTGAACGGTACAACTGATTGATACTTATTAACAGCCACATTTCACAACCGAGGAAATGGAGGCTCAGAGCGGGAGGTGGAGCTGGCTCCCACGACTGCACTAGAAGATGATGCTCTGAGACCAGAGTCGGGGAACACATGACCTGGTGCAGTTGTGTGCAGCCTTGCTTCATCTTAAAGAGCAGAGTTTGATCCCCTGGGGGCTGATGTGGAGGCAAATCCTAACTTGCCTGCTGCCCTCAGGAGGGGCTGTGAGATTCCCTACTATAGCCCCCGTTTCTCAAGTTTTAATATTCAATGTGGGATATTCATGAGGTGGGCAGGAGCTTGAAAAGAGGGGCTATATGAATGTCCAGCATCATCTGACAAGGCAGGTCTTCCCTCCTACGGGGAGGCTCAGTCTGAGGCTGATGGAGGGAGCCCCTGGTGGAGGGGGTGGAGTCTGGCTCTTCACCTCAGCACACAACCACCTCCTGAAAGCTGACACTGGCCGCAGGTGGCTGGAGGGTCCAAGTTTCTTTTCCCTTGTGGGGAAGTCTCTTTGTCTTTGAGGTTCAGCAGTTTTACTAAGATGTGCCCAGGTGAGATGTCTTCATATTTATCCTTCTTGGGCTTCCTGGGGCTTCATACCATCTGTGGCTTGATTCCCCACTGCCACCCCAGTTTTGAAATATTTTCAGCCATTATCTTTTCCCCATTCTTTCCCCTCCTCTCCTTCTGAGACCCTAGTTGTGCTCATGTTCAACCATTTGACATTATCTTATGTCTCTTATACTCTATTCTGTATTTTCTAGCCTGTTTATCCTCTCTCTGTTTCCGTCTGGTTATTTTTCTTCTGATCTAGCATATGGTTTACCAACCCTCTCTTCATCTGTGTCTTCTTCATCTATTCAGTTCTTCATTCCAGTTCTAGAATTTTCAGTTCTAAAATTGCCACTTGATTATTTTCCAAAGATTCCAGGTGTGTTTTTTTGTTGTTGTTGATTCTCTCTTATCTGTTTTCTTGAACATATTAAACCCTTTAATGTCCATGTCTGAAAACTCCAACATCTGGATCTCTTGTTTCTATTATTTGTTTTATCGCTCTTGGTTTTTGGTCATTTAAGTCTTACCTCTTGGAATGCCAGTTAAGTTTTTATTAAGTGTTCAGCATTGTAGAGATAGCCTGAGGCTCTGAATGATGTCAACTTCCTCAAGAGATGTGCTTTTGCTTCTGACAGGCAGCTAAAGAAGGAACCAACCACTTTAACCTGCGCGGGGAAGGCAGGGACTGGGAGCTGTGCTTCAGTCTTTCTGAGCCTGGGTTATATGTGGTTAACGGTACTCTCACAGGATAGCCCTTTGAGCTCCCCAACTAGAAGCTGAAGTTTTGTTGTTGTTGTTTTTTTTTAAACAGGGTCTCTCTTCCTTTTAAGCCCTGAATTTCTATTTTGACTTGCCAACTCCGTGGCCACGGCACCCTACAAACTGCAAAATGCCTTAAGGGAAAAAGTGAAACCAAATATTCTTTTCTCTCCAAGATCATGGCCCCTCAAGTCCTTACAGCCTTGGTAGCTCTTCCATGTCCTTAAACAGAGTTCTTAACGGTCTACTGCAGCATTCTTAGTTATCCTCAGTGAGTGGGTTGGTCTGATGCAAGCTAGTCTATCTTCACCAGAAGCAAGTGTAGGTGAGAATCTGAAATTAGCACCTTCAGATTGCTAAATTAATTGTGCTAGGCTGAGCACTTTCAATAAACTATTACTGTGATAGCCCCATTTTATAGATGAGGTTATTAAGGCAAGAAAGATTAAACTCACAGGCGACCACTGAGTAGCGGTGGTGGTGCCAGGACACACAAACCTGGTGTCCTGATCTGGAAGCCTGAGGTCTCAGTTTAGCACAGCGCTAGGCTTGCTAAATGCTGTAGATAAGCTTCTGTAATTAGCACTTACACTGCTCAGCTGTCAACAGCACAGGAGAGGCCGGGTGTGTTTTGAGAGTCTCTCCAGAAGGTAGACTTGCTGCTCCTTGGCTTAGCTCAATAATCCCAACAAAAGAATGCCTGCCCAGGGGCTGAGCTTCCAAGTGCTAATTGTCAATGAATGATCTTATCTGCTCCTGGTTGGCAGAGCTGACTCTGGAAGACAAAACTACTTCCAGAGTTTCCGCCCAGGCAGAGAAAGGACCGAGGGCTCTTTCTGCCTTGACCCTGGTTAACTGGGATTTGGGGGTACACAGACGTGAGGTGTTGAGGTCTCTCAGCTGTTGCAATTCGATTCCACCTGTGGACTGTGGCCCTCCAGTTGGAGCTGTTGCACTCCTGGGCACTCTTTCGTTGAGGGAGCTCTGCCTAGCTCCGTAGTGTCGCAGGGGTTGTTCACTAAACCTTTCTGGTTCTTCCCACTTCTGAACACATATTAAGCTTGCACTTGCCGGCCAATGTGGGGTTAGGTGGGGCTGTGACTTGTTCTGGTTAATGAATTATGACTTGTGCCACTTTCAGGCTGGAGTATTTAATTTGGAAGCAGAATGCTCCCACTTGATGCTATTGTGATCCCAACGCCTTCAGCAAATCATCAATACATCCTCAGTAGGTGGAGGCAAGAACTCCTGAGGAGGGGTCTCTGTCTGAGCCCCTTGAGATCAGCCTGCCCCACGCCCTGGCCCAGTCCATGGGTCTGGATGTCTGTGTTGCACAAGAGCAGCTGCTTGACCAGGGCAGCTGCCAGGCCTCCTGGCCCCAGGTTCCTGCTCCAAGGGCCCAAGAGCCTCTGGGCAATATCAACCATCAGACATCAGACATGAGCCACTGGTCCCAGCCCCCGTACTCCAAGCGTGATTGAGGGACTCATTTGCTCAGTCTGAACTTTTTGTCCCTTACTGTGAACCCCTCTGTTTCCCTTGGTCTTAGTCCATTTGTCCCTCCCCCCTCTGAAAAGTCTGGGCCAGCCCCTTCCCCTGACCACTCCCAGCCCCAGTGCTCTCTCTATCCCAAGCCCCTCCTGTCCCCACTGCACCCCATCCTCAGGGAACCCCATCCTCATTGCTGGCTTATTCACCACCCTGGAAAGCTCCCAGCTTCTCCAGCTGAACTCTGCCTCCCAAAAGCCCCAAGAGCGGCCACCACCTCCACTCCAGCCAAATCCACAGGCCCCTCCCCACCCCAAGTGGCAGACACAGGGGTGTGCATGTGTGTGCATGCACACACACAAACACACACACACAACACCCATGGGCACTCAGTGACCAGACATGCCCAGAAATACGAACACAGATGCATTATACACTGAGAAATGCAGACACAGGCCAACAGGTAGACAGACACTCTCAGCTGCCTGCCTATTTGGTGGCAGTGAGTGCTGCCCAGCAGAGGTGCCTCTGGAGACTTCTGACTTCTCTTTTCCTGGGAGTGTGTGTGGGGGGGGGTAGGGGAGCTACCGGGTAATGAGGGGCGCAGGAGCCCTGGGAGAGGGGATGAGGGGCAGAGGCCATTCCAGCTGCCCTGAGGGGGCCTCCCCATTTGCTCGCAGTTTCTCTTACCCGGGCTCAGTTCTTGCTGAGTTTGGTCTAGATCAGTGATGGCGAACCTTTTGAGCTCGGCGTGTCAGCATTTTGAAAAACCCTAACTTAACTCTGGTGACGTGTCACATATAGAAATTTTTTGATATTTGCAACCATAGTAAAACAAATATTTATATCTTTGATATTTATTTTATATATTTACATGCCATTTAACAAAGAAAAATCAACCAAAAGAATGAGTTCACGTGTCACCTCTGACACGCGTGTCATAGGTTTGCCATCACTGGTCTAGATGGTCTCTGCTGGCCCTGCTTTGATCCAGCTGAGAGGCCCAGTGACACAGGACTCTCTCAGGCCTCTCAGCCCCCTCTCCTCAATCCAGAGTACCAGAGCATTTCCAGTCCATTCCCCAGCCCAATCTGCCACCAGCCCTGCAGATTCTCCCCTCCAGGTCTCTCTAGAATCCAGCCCTTCCTCTCTGGTCTCACTGCCACCCCCACTCTTCCTGTGGGTTAAAATCCCAGCCCTGGCTCCCTCCAGGTAGCCCTCGTGACTGTGCTGGAGTAGAGCTGAACTCACCAGGTGTGGTCCAGCGAGCATGCTGCTCCCTGGGCCTGCACCACACGCTGACTTGACCTTCACCTGGCTAACTCCAGCTCAGCCCCCAGAGTGCAGCTGGGATGCAACTCCCCTCAGGAAGCCTCCCTTAACTCCCCAAATCGGCAGGCAACCGGTGAGTCCTGGGTCCAGGTCTGCATCCCCCAGTGGCTCTCCCTGAGGACCAGGATTATATCCGCCTCGCAGCCACGCCCCGGAGCAGTGCCCGAGTCTCCGGAGGCCCAGGGAATATGGGTAAATAAATGGTGAAGGGAGGAGTTGGTCAGAGGGGCCTCTAACGTGTCTCCTGTCTTCCCGGCTCCATCTGCCTCTTGGCTTTGAAGGCACTCTGTGCCCACTTCTCTCTGACTTCCTCCTTCGCTTTGGGAGGTGTGGTGGGCAGCGGGGTGGGGCTGGAGGTGGATTCTAGTGCAGGTTCTCAATGAGTTAAAGGGGGAGATCAAAGACTAGCAGAGGGCCCAAAGCAGCCACTCTGTGCTGTCTCCCCTCGGTATCCCTCTCTGTTTTTCTCATCTCTTTTGGAAGAACCCTGTCGCAAGGCTACAGGTCCCTGACCTGTCTAGGCACAACCCAGTCCCCCTGGGGTTCAGGGTTGGATGGAGCATCTCCTCCATTCCTTACCGCAGCCCCTCCTCATGCCCTCTCCTTCCCCCACTCCTCTCATCTCCTGTCCTCCCTCCAGCTTCCTCCAGCTCCTCACTTGCCTGAGCCAGTCGGTGGCCCCCTGAGCACGCAGGGCCAGCAGGAGGAAGGGATTCCAAGAGATTCCTGAAGCAGGAGTGGGGTGGTGTGGTGTGGGGTGGGGTGGGGTGGAAGGGCGGGCTGGTCTCCCTGACTCACCGGCCTGGCTGCGGAGATCGGGACTCCGTGGCGGGTGGGCAGGGGCGCTGTGGGCCGGGAGCAGCCCCTGGGAGCGAGCGAGCGCGTGTGATGGGCGGCGGCCAGGCGCGCAGATTCCAGCGTGGTCGCGGCCCCTCGTTCCCTCTGACCCCAGGAAGAGCGATGATCTCACGAAGTGTCCTGCTCCCCGCTCCTCCTCGCCACGCGTCTCCCCTCCCCCTTCGGCGTCGCTGTGGGTCTCAAGCCCCCGGCCGAGACCTCAGCCGCCCACAGGCTCCGGTCTGGACTTTCTGAGTCCGCGGTGGACACAGCGCCGCTCACCCTCCAGCGAGGGGTGCGGGTCCCCCTGGGTCTGTCTGCAGCCTCAGACGGATTTCCTCGGAGGGGGTGGGGACGGAGCTGTGGGAGCGGGGAGATTCTTCCAGGGGTGGGATTGTTCTCAATCACCCTTCCCCAGCCACCCTCCACCAATCCTGCCCCTAGAAAGGGGTGTGGCCACAGCCTCTTTGGGGACTGTGTCTCCCCAGAACGATTGGGAAGGGCTCTTGGGGCGAAAGAATGAGGAGGGAGTGTGGGCTCAGGGCCACCAGCCTGGGCTGTGTTAGAGAGACCGGGTGGCATCTGAGGGGCGACTTTCTAGACTCGGGGTTCAGCCGGAAGAGCCCCTCTGCCTCCCCTTCATCCATCCTCCCATCCCTGCACAGCCCCCCCTATGTGAGCTGGTGCCAGACTCCCTCCACCCTGACAGTGGTCCTGTAAGGGTGCTGCTGTCCTGACCCTCCACCTGCAGATGAGGAAGCTGAGGCACGGGCCAGAACAAGGATGTGAGTCTTAAATCCAGGCTCCACCCCCCACGGTCAGTCCCCAGGTTGGCCTAGCGCACTGCCTGGACCAAGCACCCTCCCCGCCACCCAGCCAGGGGCCCTCCAGGCACAGCCACGGCCACCGCTATTGGACAGAACTGATTTCGTTTATTGAACAGAGCGCGGGCAGAGCAGGTCCAGTGACCTGGCCCTGTCCACACCCCTCCCGTACTTAAATATTGCAGGGTTCAGGAGCTGCTCCGAGGTGAGAGGGCACTTCCCCGTAACACTACCCACCACTCCACCCCTGCCCCCTTGGCCCAACCGCACCTTCTTCCAAAGCAGGGGTGGGGAGAAGGCCTGTGTCTCTACATGGACCATGCCTGTGACCAGGTTGAGGGCGTGGGGGTTCGGAGTGGAGGCCCGCTTGGGGAGGGAGTATCTGGACATTCACCTGCACTGGGGGGAGGAGTCTCAAGGAGCTTATATTGGGGGTGGGAGGTGGGGGTGGGGGAAAGAGGAGCCAGACGTGGCCTCAAGAACTCCCACCCAGTTTCAAGGGTCCTTTGAACCCCACCCAATTCGCCAGTGCCTTTGTTTCTTTCTTTCATCCTCAATGAGGACATTTTTCCATTGATTTTTAGAGAGAGTGGAAGAGAGGGAAAGACAGAGAGAAACATTGATGTGAGAGAAACCCATTGATTGGTTGCCTCCTGCACAAGCCCTGGGCCAGGGAGGAGCCTGCAATGGAGGTACAGAGGTGTGTGCCCTTGACCAGAATCAAATCCCCAATCCAATTCTTGGTCCCCAGGCCGGGACCCTTGGTCCACAGGCTGACACTCTATCCACTGAGCCAAACCAGCTAGGGCACCAGTGCCTTTCTATATGTTCATTCCTTAATTTATTCCACTCGGACCCCCACTGCTCTGTGCCTTGCCCTGTCAGCCTTTGGGGAGATCATGGTTGGGAAGGGTTGATGGTGGGCCCGGTTGGGAGAGCCCAGGCTCCCCTTGCCCCACTCCCACCCCCCTCCAGCCTTGGGCACTTTTGGGGGTGCTGCAGGTGAGAATTGAAGATAGGCAGGAGGAAGGGTTCCTTATTGATCAAGGAGGGGCCACCAAGCCTGACTACTATTGATGATAATGAGGTTTCGGGAGAGGAGAAAGGAAAGGGGAAGAGGCAGGAGCAGGAGCAGGAAGGAGGAGGGGACAAGGAAAAGGCAAGGAGGGGAGCTGACTCCCCCCAGGCTGGAAGAATGAAACACTCAACAATGGACCAGAGTATATGACATTGAGCCCCTTGATGGAGCCCTGTCCCTCCATGGTCAGGGAGCTGGTCCTTGTGGCCTGTGCAGAAAATAGCTCTTGGGCGGGGAGAGAGAGGAGACCTGGTGCAAGGCATGGCTCCACAATCTCCCACCTTGGGACTTGATGAGTCCTTTCCCTACAGAGTCTCAACTTTCCCATCTGTACAGTGAGATGGTCTCTCCCACTTTTGGTTGGGTTTTCCAACATCCACTGGGTATTTTTTGCCCAGCTCTCTGCCCCTTACCCTCAAGAGGAGAAATAGACAAGGGCCATTAAGAGTGATGAGGGCTATGATGGAGGGAGCCCTGGGGTGATGGGAGCACAGAGAAATCAGGGAGGCTTCCAAGAGGAGGCGCCACCTGCACGGATCCTTTCAGAATGAGATTCTTTCTAGCTTTGCCTTTTTGCTCACCAGACCAGGACAGAGGCCACAAACAGGTGTCTCTGAAGAGATCATGAAGGTGCATGTGTATGAAGAGTGGTGTGGAAGGAGGAATAATGTTTTCTGCAGAGCCACATGCACCTGGGCCAGGTCCTCCTCACCCCACGCCTGTGGGTGCATGGGGCCTTGAGGTGGATCTCTAGAGAAAGCCCGGGGAATGTTTTTTCCATTACAATTAAGCCATTAACATTTATTGAGCCCCTTGGGACTTGATGGTGACAGGAAAAGGGCAACATATAGTAGGCTTAAATAGGATTAATAATTATTTTATGAAAAAGAAGACTTCAACCTGCCTGAAGACTATCGAGAGAGGGAGACACAAGCTGGTGGGAGGACCAAGAGGGAGCTGTGGTTAAGGGATTCTTGGAACGAGGCCTTTAATGGTGGGGGTTTTGAAAGGCAGAGAGGAGCAGAGGCGCCTCCAGGAGAACATGAGCCAGGGTTTGGAGGCTGGATGTGTTCTGAGTGTTCAGGTGCAGTGAGAGTGTGGAGGGTGGGGAGGAGAAGGAGGCTGGATGTCTTGTCTGGAGTCAAATACCAAGAGTCTCAGGGGACGGCTCAGCTCAGAAGCCACCTCCTCCTGGAAGCCTCCAGTCATGACAGTGACCACTTGGCTTGTTTAGGATCCCTCTCCCCCTCTCGCCTCCCATTCCCCCTCAGGTTCACTGCTGCTAAGGTCCCTGAGGAGTTGCGCAGAGTTTTAATATCCCCGAAAGAATCAGATCCAGCCCCTCTATTCAGCCAGTGAGCTCTAGAGGCCCAGGGCCAGGCCTGGGGGCTAAAGGGCCCAGCCAGGACCCTGTCTGCGGTTCCTGTGGGCCTGTGGTTCACTTCTGTGACCAGGCTGAAGCAAGAGACTGGGGTATCCCTGGACCCTAAATTCCACAGAAACCAGTCAGTAGATAGAAAGTGGAAGGAAGCTGAGCTGAAGTCCAGAGAGAAAATCCAGTCAAGAGCCTAAAACAAAGACCCCCCTGTGGGGCTTCCAGCGACATCTTGTTTCAGACTTCCGGACCCCGACTCTGTGGATCCCGTTGCCAAGAGCCTTGGCCAGGTGAGTGCAGGTCTGACATCTCCAGGTGCTGGTTCATTTCTGGTTTGGACCCAGGAGGGCTCTGAAATCCGGGTGGCAGGCAGGAAGGGAGGGCCGGGCAGGGCAGGGGGCAGCCCCTCAGCCCACGGCTCAGCCCTCCCCAGTCCCCCGGCCCCCTGGCTTCAGCTTCTCCAAGGTTCTGCTCACAGTGGCCAGGCTGCTTCGGACTCCTGGGGGGAGAGACCAGGACAGGGCTGCCTGAGTAGACAGATCTCTGGGTCAGAGCTAACCAGAGGGACCTGGAGCAGAGCGGGATGGACTAGGGAGAAGGGGGAGGCCCAGGAGGCAGTTTCAGCCCCATTCATAGAGGCATGGATGGCCAGAACGGTCCTTCAAGAGGACTGCAGCCTGGTGTAGGGTTAGAGGCAGGAACTGGGGCCTGACTGCCTGGGCTCAGTTCTAGCCCCACTACTTCCAAGCTATGTCACTTCATTTCCCTGCGCCCCATATATAAAGTGGGGCTAATTACAGTACCTTCCTCATATGGTTGTTCTGAGACTGGGATGAATTAATATATGTAAAGTGCTTGGAACAGTGTCTGGCATGGGACCTATGCAGAGCTGAGGCATCCTCCCGCTGGTGGCAGGCACTGTGGGCTGGGCTGCCTGGAATTTTCCAGTGTGTGGAGATGGGGCAGGAAGAAGGTGCCAGTTTCAGGTACCAGCTCTGAGAGTTGGATTCTACAGTGGGAGAGGAGAGTGAGAAAATGAACTGGGGCATGGGATGGAGGTGGGGAGGGGCAGCGAGGTGCTGATGATCCCAGGCACTGAGGACAAACAAGAGGAGCTAAGCTCAGCTTGGAGCAAGAAGGGTTTTGACTAAACATATGGAAGAACTACCCAACTCTGCAGGCTCTCAGGGGCTGGGGAGATCCCTTCTGATTGCCCCTCAAGGTTTCTCATGGGTCCCACAGAGCTGCTCAGCCAGAGGGGAAAGGCGGAAGAAGGATTCTGGAATTTCTGGTACTTACCCTCTTTATTGCCATTGGCGTTGGATCTTCCCTCCCCTTGGTCTGGCGCTGGATGGGGGTGGACTCTCAGGTTCCCTGCAGGATGAGACCACCCCAAGCTCTCTGGTCACTAAGCCAGTTTTGGAAAGGGAAGTCCTTCCTGTTGTCTAATCTCCATTCCTGCGGCTGTCTTTGCTCCACTGTTCTTTTAGGTCTTCTACACTATCTGGGCTGGTGTGGGGTCGGGTGGAGATGGGGAAAGGGCCTTGAAGGAGAAGATGGTAGGGAGCTGGGGATATGTAAAGCCCCGTGGGATTGATGAGATGGGAGGGCGTATTTGGGGAGGTGGGAGCTATATAAGGGTGCTAGGGTCTTAAGGGAGAAAGAAGGTTTTATGGTGGCTCGGGGATGAAGTAGGGAGATCTGGAGATTTTGGAGGTTTGGGGGAGATGGAAAATCTATCAGGGGAGATGGGAATTTTAGGTGCTCTGAGCAGCTTTAGGCACTTTTGCAGCAGGCTGGAATGTGCTGTACTATAGTCATAGCAATGCCTGAACCACACACCCAAACACACACACACACACACACACACACACATACACACACACACACACACCACCCACCCACACACACACACACACCCCACACACACACAAGCAGGAGCAGTTGCACATGTGGGCTCTGTTCCCTGCACAGTGGGCCGCAGACTTACATACAAAGGGTCTCGCACAGACTTTGGCAGAGAATGCTGGGGACGGGGAGAGGACTCACCTATGTTAGGCAGGATGTGGTCTAGGTTGAACCGAGCCTTCAGGAAGGGGTAGGCCAACATGAGGAGTCCTGGGATGAGAGACAAGAGGGGTTCTATGATGGGGAGGCACCTGGGGGTGGGAGCTGCATGAAGCTGTGGGTGGCTGTGAGCCCAGGGGTGGTTTACAAGGGTGATATTGGACATGCATGGAGGAGTGTGCAGGTTGGGACTGTGGGTGGGTCAGGGTGAGCCTGTGAGTGTGTGCACGGGCCGCTCTCGAACAGCGGGTCCCAGGAGGGGCAGAGAGCAGTGCCTATCTGGGGAAGGGGCTACAGGCCCCACCAACCACTGGAAATAGGCTCAGCTGCCACCACCACCACCAACTCCTCCATGGTAGGGCTGGGGGGGCTCCTCAGCATGCTCTTTTCCACCCAGACCTGGAGAGGGGGTAGCAGAAGAGTGGGTCCTGCCCTGCCATTCCCGCTGTATCCCCAGACCAAGTGTCCGTGGCCCTTGGCTGGAGTTTGCAGGTACAGATGCCCAGAGCCCACAGCCTAGTGTTTCTGGTTCTGTTTGGCCCAGGGTGGTGGAGTGGGGGGTGGTGAGGGATGGTATTCAGCATCACTGTGGGCACATCAGTGGAACTGGCCCAGATACACAGATGGACAGATGCCTGGACAGACAGATCTGCTGCTGAGACATACTGAGGGAAAAAGGAAACCCTTTGTCTGAGCTACATCCTATCTTGGCTCAAGGAGGGTTCACCGGGAACTTGGTCCCCTTTTATCTGCTCCCATAGCCCCACCAGCAGGCTTATGAATCCTACCACAATCCCAAGAGCCCAGGCCTGAGACTGGAGAACCAGAGGGGGAGCAGCCAGAGAGGAATGGGGCACAGCTCCTTTCCCGGCAGTCCATGGAGGGAACCTCACCCCAACCTTCCTCTCCCTCCCTGTACCCCCCCCCAAAGCTGCCTTGCTCTAGCTTCCACCCTCTCTGACCAATTCCTGTTGTCCCAGCTCTTCCCTTCATTTCCTGTTCACTTGCCCCTGCCCCTGCCCCTGCCCCCTCTCCGAGCCCAGCACCTGCTCACCCAGACCAGCAGCGCCAATAAAGATACCACCCAGAGCGGCCACAGCTTTGGACACGGAGATGCCGATGATGATGCTGCCGGCCACCAGGCCCAGGGCCACGCACGCCAGCTGCAGGCAGCGGAAGTCTCTGCTGCTGATGGGGATGTCCATGCAGGCCTACCCAGGGCACCGTGGCCAGCCAGTGGGGCCGGTTCCCGAAAAGCCCTGGAGGTCTTGGTCCTCTTGGCTGTCCCTGGTTGGAGCTTCACCTTCAGGGTGGGAGTTTCTGGGCAGTAAGATTCTGGGCTTGTCACCCTTAGATTTATCTGCAACCCTATCCCACACTCTCCTCGGTATCCCCCACCTTGACCTAAGATCTCTTCCAGGTCACCCCAGCTTATTGTTCCTCCCCTATAGGCCTCTGAAGCTGGGGACCATTTTGAGGACTCCTGCCTGGCCACACCCAGTGCTGGAGAGCGGGGCCTGCCCCATGGGGTCCTCCACTGCCTGCCTTCTCCTGGGAGAGCTCAGCCCAAGCTCCCCTGCCCAGGACATCCTGCCCCAGCTCCCAGGAGTCTGCTCAGCTGCCACTGAGCCTTGGCTTATTAAAATTTAAAGAAGTGTGTGTGTGGAGGGGGGGGGGGTAGCGGGGCAGGGGGGTTGGTCCAGGGGCCAGGTTCCTCTGAGATGCAGGCAGCAGGGAGGTGCTGAGTTATTCATGAGGTTGCAATGTGAGCTGCTGCCTGGGTCCCAGCGGCCCCCTAGGGCAGTCAGCCCAGGTTCCACTGCTGGTCCCTGACAGGGCAGGATGAGCTACTGGCTTCATGTGGGGCTCAGTAGCCAGGGATGTGAGGAGGCTCCCTGGCCACATGCTCAGGGCTCACTCTGCTGTCCCTTTGGCTTGGAGGTGCACCTGGGGCTCTGCTTGGGGACTCAGAGACAGAGCGAGGGAAGGAGACCTGGAGGAGACTCAAGAGACAGGAACAGCAACTAGGACAGGAGGAGAAGGAGAGGTGTCTTTTCAAATCCACTCTGTATGCCTGCCCTCCCTCTCTCCCCCCACCCCATCCTGCAACCTCTGATTGCAGGCAGGACTGAGGAGTCCTAGCTTGAAACGCCCCCTCCCCCTTTCTCCTCAGTTAGGCTTGGTACTCACTCCTCTTTAGTTTTCAGTGGGCTGAGAGAGTGAGCCCTTCTAGCCTCCTGACAGGGAGCTGACAGGGAAGAGCTGTGGTGGGGGCCCCGGGGGCTAGGGCTGGGAGAGGAATTGGGATTGGAATCAGCCCAGGTGGTGGCTGGTGATCATGGCCTGGGTCAGGAGACTGGGACATGGCTGGTGCCTCCCGACCTCTGGCCTAAGCTCCTCTGCCCAGCCTATCTGACAAGCTGCTGGCAGGACCCACCAACTTGAGGTCGGGCAGCACTCATCCAGCCCAGGCAGCCCAGCCCTGTGCCTCCCCCCACCCCCCGCCCCCGCCCACTTCTGGCCCTCATCACTGATTGTATTCTGTGGCCCTATATGGACCAGAGGCTCCCCGGTCCCAGAATATGGCCCTAACCTTAGCCCTGGACCTACACACCTGGGCATAGTACCCAGGGTCCATCACCAGACCCCACTGGCTTCTCTTTGGATCCCCCATCTCTCCCACCACATCTGTAGTCTAGCACAGCTGGGCCCATGGTCTCTGCCTCCAAGGCTGCCCCCGGTCCTGGTCCCTCCCCTTCTCCTCGGCGGCCCTCCTGCTGAGTGTCTGCCTGGCCCCTGCAGTCTGGTTAATACCTCCTCATCCTTCGGGACCCTGCTCAGCCAGCCCCCACTCCGTGAAGCCATTTCGGATGGTGCCCGAGTGGGTGAGCTGCCCATCACTGCTGCCATGTCCCGAAGTGCCCACCATCAGTCCTCATTCTCTGTGTTCCTTCTAGCCTGTGAGCCCTGAGGGCAGTTGCAGGGAGTGAGCTCCACAGAATGCATGGCCAGAGGGGACCAGAGTTCAGGGAAGGCATGGACTCTCACAACCACCTCAGGTGGGCAACGAGGAGGGCCAAGGGCACCATAGGACCTCTGTCTCTAACACGGGCTCTCCTTGGTGGGGGAGGGGGGCCTAGGAAGGCCAGAGTCACCTGACTGAGCTTCAGCCAAGGGAAGGCATGCCCAGATGCTGGAGAGAGGCCTGGGCGGGGACAGGTGTGAACTCAAAGGTGTGTAGGGAGGTGGGGTGCCTGCAGAGCACCCATGGGCTCCTGGGCCATGATCCTGGCTCATAGGAGAAAGCCCCTGGGGATGGACATTCCTCAGCCTCAGCCACTGCTGCCAATATCCCCTGTGCCTCTCACCAGGATGAGGTCTGATTATTCCTCTAATTAGGCATCAAATGACAGACCATGTTTCTGTTACACGTAATTGATCCCCCACTGGCTAGTTTTAGAAGGAGCCGTCAAAATAATTGTCCATGAAAACAAGAGATGTCGAGCTTTGGGAATCTGAACATCCTCCACAGGCCCCCACCTCCATAATGTGTTTGCATAACCCTGATGAGCAGGGCCTGTGCTGGCTCCTCTCATGGTGTAAGGTTGAGGGGCGCTGCCCGGACCATCAGCAAGACAGGGGCTCTGGGGCCATGTCTCCCACCTGGAATTGTGGGACTTGGGCCAGCCACGCCTCTGCCGAAGTCTTGCTTTGCTCATGTTGTGAATGGGGAGGGGGATGGCAGAGGCTGAAGTCAGGGATGCTTGTGCATCATGAGTTTCCGACTCCAGAACATTCTGATCTCTAAAAACTGGAGACCAAATAGCAAATTAGAGTTTTTCTTTAACATTGCAAATCCCTCAGGGCACAGATCAGAGGAGGAAATATGGAGGAGAGACACACTGAGCCATTATCAATTCCAAAATCACAGAGAGCCCTGACCAGTAGCTCAGTTGGTTAGTGCTGTGGTTGGCAAACTGCAGCTCGCAAGCCACATGCGGCTCTTTGGCCCCTTGAGTGTGGCTCTTCCTAAGCCTTAGGAGTACCCTAATTAAGTTAATAACAATGTACCTACCTATGTAGTTTAAGTTTAAAAAATTTGGCTCTCAAAAGATTTTTCAATCGTTGTACTGTTGATATTTGGCTCTGTTGACTAATGAGTTTGCCAACCACTGGGTTAGTGCATCATCTTGATACACCAAGGTTGTGGGTTCGATTCCTAGTCAGGGCACATCCAAGAATTAACTAATGAATGCATGAATAAGTGGAACAACAAATTGATGTTTCCGTTTAGTAATACTCTGAGATCCAGACCCACCAAAAGATGCTGGCTGCTTTGAAGACAGTTTCTAGGTGTTTTTCATTGAGTTTTGTTACATGTCTGTCCCCACTCAAATCCCATTCCTCAAGGGTCAGCATTTCCCATAGAAAAACCATATACCTTTTCTCAGCATCCCTATTAGGCTGCAGAAAGAGGCACTGCAAGCTCTTTTAGGATTTGTGGGCTGAAACATCAGTCCAGCCTGCATCTTTTCCCTCATCACAGGAGAGCGCCATTAAGAGCTACACAGAACTTTTATGATGCCTGCTCCTCCATTGATTACACACATAGAGAGGAAGGATTGCCCGTTCTCATCTCCAAACAGGCTGTATCATCTCTGAAATACATATCTGTCCTTGGACAGTATGCTTACTACAACAGGTAAATGACATGGAAGTTCAAGGCACTAGAGCCGGACCACTCACCACGCCCTGCCCCACCCCACAAGCCTCAGAGCCCTCTTCCCTGAAGCCTGGGTCCTCCAGACTCAGACTCAGGGTGTGTCGAGGCCGTGGGTCACTGCTGAGTTCCATCACACAGTCTGTCTCCTGAGACCAGCTCTGGAGGGTGCCTGCTTGAACTTTCCTTCCAGATCCAAAGGTGGTGTAGGGGTGGGAAGAGTGGGCAAAAATGCCTGGGTTTGGTTTAGTTCTGTTTATTTTCCTTGAGGGGTGAGGACCCTGGAAAAGAGCATGATTAATTCACTGATCCCCTGGGGGACAGGCAGCTTTCCGGGCTGTTTGGAAGCTGAAGTCAGGAAGCAGCTTCCAAGGCAACGGCTACCATGGCAACAAGAGTGCCAGCCATGGGAGAACCTTGCTCCTCCATTCCTTCCAGACTAAGTAGCTGGAGCAGTTGGCACAGGACCCAGGCACTGCTATTGGAGCTAATTTGGTGAGGGGCAGTTAGGAGGGAGGAAGGAGGGCCCTAGAGCTCAGGCAGGTGGGGGGCCTGGCGAGAGAAACACCTGGTCCCTGTGCCCGGGCCCCAGATGGGGCTCATACAGGAGTCCTTGGGTTCTGCTTGAACCAACAGGGGCTGGGGCTGAGGCCCGAGGCCTGACACACACCACTGTCTGGGGACCAGCTCTCTCCTAAGGTCCAACCTAAGTGTGAATCCTAGAGCCTGGGAACCAGCTGCCACAGTTTCAGGCCCCAAAGCCTCCCCTAGTGTGCCTGCCACATCTGCCTCTGCCAGCAGAGCCAGGCACACGGCCTGGTCCTCAGAAAGAGTAAAGCCCTTCATACGGTGGCCTCGTGACCTTCCTACGGTTGCCTGGTGAACAGTGGCAGAGGAAGGACTAGGACTCAGGGCCCCAGCGCCCACTGCTGCTCCTTGGGAACAGGAACCTCACCCCAGAGGGGCAGAGCAGCCTGTCAGCAGAGGATCCCCTAAAGGGCAGAATACCGGGCCCATCTGGAAAGCCCAGACCCAGCTCCACCCACAGCCCAGGAAAGGATGAGTAATTCTGCAACAGGAGGTAATAATAAAAATAACAAAACGATCATAGCTAACAATTATCGAGTACTTACTGTGTGTGCCTGAAACTGCCCTAAATGCTCTACATTTGTTCATTTGTGACTCACAACAGCCTGCCCAATTTTTGGTTAAAGAAACTCTCAGAGATTAAATAACTTGCCCAAGGCCCAAAGCTAGTAAGTGGCAGAGCTGGGGTTGAACCTGGCAGCCCAGCTCTGGGACCCCAAGTCTCTCTGGAAAGAATTCCAGTTCCACCTTCTTAGCTGTACAGCCCTGGGCAAGCTATTTTTCCCCTTTTCCGCTTGGTTTTTCAGGCTAAGTAGGGTAAAATAATAGTACTTTCCGCACAGGACTACTGTGAGAATTAAATGTGATAATGCCTCGAGCTTCTCAGAAAGAACCGGTTACTAAGTGCACATTAAAGTTAGCAAACCAGAGCAGGCGCAGTAGCATTTACACAGAGGAGTGGAGGATGGGAGGGCCGGCAGGTGGTCTGGGGTGGGAGGTGGGTGGTGAGGGCACAGCCTGGGCTCAGGCACAGCGGCAGGAGGGACCAGCTAGAGCTGTGTGCAGGGCAGGATGGGGCTGGGGGCAG